TTCATGAGCTGGCAGGACTTGTTGACAGAACTTTAAACTAGGATTAAGGGGGAAAGGGACAATATCAGGCTTGGCTGTGACAAGCTGTGGGACAACAGGCAACAGTTAGAGGGATGGGGTGCTAGTGAGGACCTGCAGCCTGTTGCTCTGAAATGTGCTGGCTGCACTGCAGCACGCTTGAAGTCTTATGGAGATGAACCAGGGGCTCCTGAGATAATAGGAGCCAAGTGAAATACCCCAAAGGGATTAAAGGGTGTTCCTCTAAGAAGGTGGCACAGCTGACAGCCCAGCTGAAGTGCATCTACACCAATGCAGGCAGCGTGGGTGATGAACAGGAGGAGTTGGAAGCCATTGTGCTGCTAGTTGCCACTACTGAAACCTGCTGAGACAAATCCCATGACTGGAGTGCAGCTATCCATGGCTACAGGCAGTTCAGAAGGGACAGGGGAGACCTTATAGCAGCCTTCAGTACCTAAAGGGGGCCTACAGGAGAGCTGGGGACAAACCTCTTAGCTGGGCTTGTTGCGACAGGGCAAGGGGTAATGGCTTTAAACTGAAAGATAGTTTTAGTCTAGATTTAAACTAGGTGGTGAAACACTGGAGAGGTTTCCCAGAGAGGTGGTAGATACCCCATCCCTGGAAACTTTCAGATTGGGTGGGGTTTGAGCAACATGATCTACTTGAAAATATCCCTGCTCATTGTGGGGGAGGTTGGACTCGATGGCCTTCTAAGGTCCCTTCCAACTCAAACTATTCTATGTTAAATGACTAAACTTGATCAACCTCAAGCCTGGAAGGTCCACAGCTCTTAATGGCAATAGTATCATGGAATAAATTAAGATTGGCTGAGATCCTGAGTAAGTTAAGTGGTCTTTTGTTTTTTTTACAACAAAACAGAGCAGATTTTTAGTCAGGCTTGCCTGTAAAGAATGTACAAGCTGTAAATGTGGGAAGGAAAACAATGTAACCCTGATCTCTACCCCCTCTGATAATTACATGTGTCTTCTCAGAAACAAGTTTACTTTCGCCTCCATTTCCAGAAAGCTTTAAGGATGTCCTTGTCCTTTTGAGATTGTCAGTCCTGTTCTGATACTTCTTTTGCATAAATGATTAAGGTGACCATCTTGATTTCAGAAGGGAGATGGCATAGTATTGATGGTTGCCTGATCACTTTTTAATTAGGATAATAGGAGTTCTTTTTTTCAGCCCATTCATTTGGCCAGCGTTCTTCACATCAAGTGCTTGCTGGTGGGTTTTCAATACAATGCCCAAAAAATGAGAGTCTGGAATCTCAGGAGTTCTGGGAAGCAATTTAATATGGTTCCTGTTGGAAGTCAAAGGGCACTGTGCCTCTGACTTAAATGGGAGTGCTGTAAGGTCTGCAGAGCTACTGGAATTTTCCTTATAAAAATAATGGAGTGATATACGTTTGAATACAGTGTGGGATTTTATTTCCTTTTATATGTCCTCTTAATCAGGATGATGCTCAGTCTGATGTAGAGCTTATTAAAAGAGGGCTGTCGTGTTATCCAGCCACTTACACATTAGCGGCTTTAAAATTAATAATATTAAAGAAAAAGACCTGGGCTTTACTAAGTGGACTCAGCACTCATTTTTCACAGAAAATAAAATCCTTAGCTGTAAAAAAAAAATAATTAAAAAAAACTTGAAGTGTCTACAGTATGCTCTGATCTTCTGTTTGCATCCCTGCTCTTAAGTGTGACATGGAGGTTTTTAAGCACAAGGTGATGCTGTGGTGGTTGTACCATCTCTTTAGAAAAATGATAAAGCTTGAATGTGCCTGGTGCTTTCAGATGACACTGTAACACAAACAAAGCTGTTTTATACTGTCTTTGAGAACCTCACTCGGACTATTAGGACATACTGGTCTCTATTGCCTAAATTATTTTAGCTTCCTTCTTCTAGTTAGGAAAACTTGCCCTGTGGAAAGTTATTCTTTGACTTACAACCTTAGGGTTGTAAGCACCTTCCTCAAACGTTGGTTGCTACCTGCATCAGTTTTCTGAAAATATAGCTAAACCATGATTCTGATGACACATCACAGGTTCAGACTAGACATCAGGAAACATTTTTACGCTGAAAGGGTTATTAAGCATTGGAATGGGCTGCCCAGGGAAGTGGTTGAGGCACTATCCCTGGAAGTTTATAAAAGACGGGTTGACATAGTGCTCAGTAACATGGTTTAGTGATGGGTTGTTGTTTTTTTTTATCAGAGTTAGGTTGATGGCTGGACTAGATGGTCTTAAAGGTCCCTTCCAACCTAGACGATGCTATGATTATGTGATGTGCTGTTTGCCTCATTTCCTTGTGCCTAAGACTCTCCTTTCGCTGTTACCCTCTCTGTGTCCTCTTGTCTCTTTCCAAGCGATGCTCTTCCTATGGATTAGTTGTGCTGTTGATAGTGAGATTGCCATGAAGTGTGTCAAAGCCTGAAGCACCACCTTTTCTGAGCTTGAGGGTTCCAATGACTTCTTTCCTCTTTTGCTACTTGCACATAGACGAAGGGTTAGACGAGGCTGCTTGAAACGTCCCTGAGCACCATGGTTCCAAAAAACGCTTGTTCTTATCTATCAAATATGACAAGTCCTGCTTGATAAATATGACAAGTTCTGTTTCTGCATGAAAAATATGTTCAGGAGTTGAAAATTCATTACTTCTCAGTCATCAAAAAACATACAGAGTCTGTTGCTCCATGAGGTTTTGTGTATATAGGCTGAAAGGTGTTGCCTCAACGTATTTATTTTAAAGTGAAACACCTGGGAACCAAGAACTTACATTCATGCCTTTTTACTCTATCTGGAATACACAGCTTTTGTGCCACAAATCTGTTATGACACAGATCTGTTCTGATTCTAGCTGGTTGAGAAAAGTTAAAATTAATGAGAATGCTAATAATGCAGACACTGGCTAGGCTAATGGTCTATTTGCATATTTCCAGTTTTTCAAGGAAACGTGTTTATCTTGTGGTTCTTATAGTGAAAACAGGACACATGTAGGTGAGTGTCTCTTCTTGCTCTCGTAGAGGATCATCATTACAAGTTCCTCAGAGGACTTGGCAGTGTAAAATGGACATACCTATGCATGCAAAACAGACATAGTCTATTTTGTGTTTTCTGCTAAAACAAACATTCCACTAACATTAGTCATTTTCTTTTCCTTTTTTTTTTTTTCCTTTTTTCCCCCCAGAGAAGTAAGAGTGCAAAAGGACGTCATAGTCTTTTGTATTCATTCAGTCTTTTATTACTTTCATGTCACATTTCCTACATTTACTGATGTTGGCACTGGATGCTCAATTTGTGATGTACTTATTGTATAAAAACCTCAGTTTTGTGGTGGAAGTCCTTGAAATTGAGCGTTTGATGGTAGATTGAAATAAAGCACAGTTCTGTTCTTGAGACTAGATTTTAAGGAAAACTAGGGTTTTCCTTTATTGTAAGTGGCCCCCATTAACATCTGTGTTTTCTTGGAAGGAAAGAATAGCCATGTGAGTTAGGCAAATTGACACAGGAAGTCTTACTGCATTGTGATGATAAAAATGAAGCAACTTTTAGATTCACTTTTCAGTCATGAGCGCTTTGAAAATAAGTTATCGGTATATCCATTGCTGTTATTGATAATCAATATAAAGGTTTCTTTTTCAGAAGATGCACAGCTAGGTTGCCATTCTAGTTTTGTACAAGTTCACGTTAATTTTCATTGAAGGAATGAACAAATGCAAATCATCAACCTGGTACTTGCACGTGGAGGGAGATACGTGTTGACATAGTATTCAGCCAGTCCTAGTTTTCTGTATAGGTTGATCTTTTTTGATGTAAGTATATTGGAAGACTTCTAGTAACTAAAATAAGAATTCCCCTTGCATTTTGTGATGGCAAACAGCTGGCTTTCAAGATCTGCTGAAATTAGACATTCCTGTCTGTTGACTGCCCCGATACCCTAGTTCCTTTGTCAGTGATACTTCACAAGATTATGTTCTTGTGCTTTCTTCTTTTTTAGGATCACACCCTCCCTGTCATTTTACTTCTGGTTTTGGTTAGCATGATGTTTGGGTTTCGGTTTGTTTTTTGTTTTCGGGGTTTTTTTTGATACTATTGGTTTCATAGATTGTAGAAGTAAGAGTCAGAAAGACACTGCAAGGAGTCAGGTACTACTTTAAAAGTTACAACCTTGACAGCATTCTAAACTCTCGGAACAGTTTTCAAAATCACCTTTGCAAAATTTCTTTCTTGGGTAATTTTTATTAATGAGTACAACGTATGTGCGGGCAAAATGTTCCATCCTTGAATGGGTGACCACAGCAATTTCTCTTTCCAAGTGAGGCCAGGTAGTATGTTTAAGTGATGTTAGCCATACATTAGCATCAGCGCATTCTGTATTGGGGAAAAAAATAACTAGCCTTAAAACAAGATAAAACCACCTTGACTCTAAAGGACGGTCTCATTATGTAGCAGTGGTAACAAAAATGAATGCCACTGTTAAACCCTAGCATAAATCTCCAGTTTGTGCTGATCTTGGAGACCTTGAAATCCTATCCCATTTGTTATTTGAGGCCATAGCTGTTCAGAATCAGCTTTGTGCTTGCTTTGTAATTGCTCTTTATCAGGCAATTGCTTCCATTTCGTAACTGCAGAGTTGGTTCTACACGCTGGGTTTAAGCTTCCAAATGATCAGCAATTTGACATTTGACATTAAGTGGTTCACCTTTAGTGGGTAAGAGGAAAACCTACTAATTCCTGGTGTTTACAGCACTGATAGTGTGATACTGCTTCCCTCTGTCTAACTTGCATCTTCAACCACTGCTGTAAATTTTTTTCAAGTTTAAAAGCAACCTTCTAAAGCACACGAGCTTTGATGCTATGTTTTGCACTGTGGGTAATCCTTTTATTTTAGTGCAACTCTTTGGTCCCTAAAATGACATGCAAGCCTCTGTTAAAACATGGGATCTCTAATCTTTGCCTTCCTTATTGTGATTTTTGTAGGGGTACAAGCCTGTCTGCAAAGTACAGTACGAGAACAAGAAGAGAAGTATGAAATCCAAGGTGGCCCACAAAGAGGCCGGCTCAACAGAGAACAGCTGGTGGGTTTTATTGCTTGAGACAGATTATCTTAATGACCTTTTGGTTCATACATTTTTGCCCTTTGCCACATGTGCAGGTGCAGTGGATGTAAAATTTTAATGCGGTCTTGTACAGAAATTGGATTATGCGCAAGGTGATCGAAAGAACTGGGAACACCCATAAAGCTGTCATCTTTCTCTATTAGTGGATAAGTTGCTTTAACCTTGTCAGAAGGCGTGCTGAACTAAATTCATGGAAGAAGTTGTATGGGACAGCAGGTGATGCTGGTTTGGTCTTCTCTGCTCAGCTTTAGAACCTTGTTGAAATTGCACGAAAGTTGAAAGAAAAATGATTTTATTACTGCTTGTTTCCATATAGAGGCACTTTTATATTTAACTGGGTTAATTTCTGGTTGCTTTCTGGGCTACGCTGGAGAAGTTCATTAAATGTATTGTAGCAGTAGCTGTAAATATTCCTAGCTCGTAGTTAAACCGTGTTGTGTTGGAAAATATTTAAATATAAGCAAGAATTTACCGCGTAAGCAACTTTTCTTGGTTGCACGCTTATACTGAGGACCTTAAATGTTAAATTACTGTTCTAGCTTCCAGTGTTGGTTACTTCAAATTGTATTTTTTTGTAGGCACAAATTCTTCCTTTCCACTTTTTTTTTCCCCTGTGTGTTCAGTTGCAAAGTCCTGTATTTATACTTTTTTTTTTTTCCCCCTTCTACTTAGCTGCCAAAGTTGTTTGACGGATGCTACTTCTATTTTTTGGGATCTTTCAATCACCACCAGAAGAGTGATCTTGTAGAGTTGGTGAAAGCAGCAGGAGGACAAATTCTGGTTAGGCAGCCCAAACCAGACAGTGATGTGACGCAGACGGTCAACACGGTGGCTTACCACGCGGAATCCGCTTCTGACCAAAGGTTTTGCACTCAGTATGTAATCTATGATGGGTCTTCTAAATTCAAGCCAGAGAAAATTCGGCAGGGCAAAGTCTGGATGGCCCCCTCCAGCTGGCTTGTAGACTGTGCCATGTCTTTTCAGCTCCTGCCTGTAAAATGAACATCGGCGTCTCAAGAGCAAGGTTTTAAAACGTGGTGAATCTTGAGCAGTTGGAACACTCTGGTCTGAAGATATGATTTATGTTTTGCACTTAGGAATGCAGGAGAGCTTTGACCATTTAAATGAGGTACTAAGATCACTGATAGGCTGGACTAAATGAACTTATAATGGAGGAGAGAGATAAATATACTGCATTGAAAAATGTGCCTTAGGTTATTTAGTGTGCTTTATTTTTTGCGTTTAACTTAACTGTAATAATCACTGACATTTTGTAACTAAAATTTTGCAAAACAAAACCTTTTGCATTCTTGATGTAAACCAGCCCTTTCTGGGGGATAGAGCGTGACCCCATTTCTTTTGTGTTTAATATCCATTGACAAGGATCTATTATATGTGTCAAGATTTCCCAGCCAAGCCAGAATTTGTATTTTTTTAAAAAAAGGACTCTCTGGATTTGAACAGAGTCATTTGCCTCTATAGACATCTCTTCTGTCAGATAACGTGGTGTTTCTTATAACTTTTTACAACTGAATTTTGCAGGAAATTCTTGGCATGGGATAAGCCTTGTAGAAATCAGAATAGAACTGATGGCAGCCTGAATTCATTTGAGAGTAGTCAATTTTGAAAACGCTATCTTTAAAAATCTCGGTCTAAAATGAATTATTTGTAGCAAGAGTAATGCTTTATTCACTTCTGTCTTTTCATGCTTGTAAACATGTAACTCGAATTTGATTCTATTTTCTGAAGGTTTTTAAGCATCAGGATCCGTATTAAATTATAATAATATTTCTGTAAGTATGGGTGATTGCTATCATGGTTACTTCAACAAAAAAAATAATTTAATGATCTCAAAAGAATTATGCCTCACTTTGCACAAATGTACTTAAACTTAGCTGGCTACATTGGAGCTATATCTGATTCTTTCAAATTTGTTACAATATTTCTTATAACTAATCATAAGTTATTGTCAGAATCTTACTTCCTCACTCTGTGTTCTCACGTAATGTGTTGCATCTTTTCTGTTGCCTTAGTTTGTGAATTCCTAATTTTAAAATGGTGTCTCATAATAATATACAATGAGAATGAAGGTTGTGGGATAAAACAAAGTGTCCTTGTGTTTGCTTTTATATTGGTTGTAATAATTAAACTTTTGGTGCCGGTAAGTTTGGAGTATCTTATTGCATGAGCTTAGCTACAGAATGTGTGTGTAGATATGTATATGTATTTTTCTTTCCATACGTATCTCAACAGTAAATGGAAATGTTAAGTACTTTTTTGTGAACTTGATAGAGCTGTGAAGACAGCATAACCATCTGTGAGAGCAGCTCTGCACTGCAAGAGAGTCATTTTCTGTAACCATTGCCACTGGAGATCTTACGCCAATTTTCAGCACGCTCTATGGAACTCTACAGCTAGAACTATACACTTCAGGTATGTAACAGGTATAGTTTCCAATGGCATCTACTAGACTTCAGTAGCTGGAGTATCTTGATCTATCACTTCAGCTAGACTGAATCATTGCTCTTCACTAAATGCACTTCCCAAGTAGTTGCACGTCTGTGTGAGCGAGCAAAAATGCAAGGCTCATTAATAAATGGAACAATCCATGGGATGAATGTCTTTGGGGTTTTTGTGCAGATAAACGCTAGCAGCAAATAAGGTACTGAGTCAATACTGTGTGGACTTGGTCATTTATTTTAACAATTGTAGCACATTTTCACTTGGCATTTCATAGCACATCAATATACCTAATGCGGTATTCTTTGCAGAAGTAGCAGTGAATCTCTGCAAAATTCTTAAGAATGGAGCTTTTTTTGCTGTGTACCAGGAAGAAATTTGGCCCATCAGTAATCAGTTCTCTGTCCCAGAGGCAGCAGATACACAGATTTTTTTTATATTTTTTTTTTCAAGCTTAGCAGCTTGAAAGAAACTCTGTTAGAAAATTGTCACCAATTTCTTAATTATTTTTTTTTAAGCTACGCCCTGAACTCTTCCTAAGGTCTTGTTCCTTTGATTCAAAGTCATGTTTTTAAAGCAGAGTTACTATCAAATTGCATTAAGAATCCCTCCATATCACACTGAAGTGTACTCAAGACTAAATCTGTCCCATCTCCTTCAGGTCTCCAGGATTTCAGAGTCTGGGTGTGATCAGCTTCTGCAGACTTGGGCACTTCAAGAGCCTCGCGACGCTGCAGTAAGAAGGCTTTGATGCCAGAATGGCAGTGGGTGTCCAACACTAACTGAAGCAGTAGGTAAGTACCCAAAAGCTAGAGGTCAGTGACACACAGACCCTGCTTAATTCACTCTTGCTAATCGTTAAAAGCAGGGGGATAGCACTTGATAAAAAGCAGCTTAAAACCAGCCTTGTAGTAAGGATAAATCAAGTCTCTTAATCCATTGGATGGATTTTGGCTCATGAAAGCAAGGTTATAGTGTCATGAGGCCTGTGGGAAAGGGTGTGTAGGGATCGTTTCTCACTGTCTCCTCTAGTCCAGAAACGGGTGCGTTAGAGGAGGCTGGAAATAGAAGAGGTATTTCATGCAGTGTGAGCAGACCTGTGGCACTGACAGCCACGGCCAGTTTTGGGGGCTGTATATTTTGGCATAGTGTGAAGCAGGGAGTAGTTGAGTTCATCAAAGAAAATCTTTTAAAGATTAGTAAAGAACCTTAGCTATAACATTAATTTATATTAGTTTTCTTTTGCTAAAACGCATATACTTCCAGGTAAGAGTCCAAGACATACCATCTGTATTATAGATGTTTTTATTATTCTTGTATTTAAACCTCAGAAATGCTGTGAATCTCAGAAAGGCTAATGATTGTCATGAAACTTCCCTTAAAATCTCTGTTTATCTCGTTATGAATTGGTTAATGTGGGACACCTGGTAACACTTTCAGTAGCAATGTCTGGAGTTCAGGCTGAGGTCTAAGGGAGAATATATGAAGCCTGGCCAGTTTTTTGCTTAGTTTGTTTTATGTGGGGTTTAGGGTTTGGTTTTTTTGTGAGTGTGTTTTATTGAAGTGAAAGATACTCAAGAGTATGGAGGTTGCTTCCTTGCATCACTGTCCTGCGTGGGTCCTGGGGAATACAGTCATAGAATAGGTCATATTTTTGGCTGTTTCTACCTCTATTTGGTTACTTGTTTTTAAACATCTCAGGCTTTTCTTATCCCTAAAATACCAGGAGTTCTTTTTGGACTTTTTTCCTCTGGCTATAAACTAAAACCTGTCCTCTGTTGCTGAACATTGAGGATTCATTTGTTATTTTGAGATACTCAGAATTCACTTTTGGAGGTGGAAGAAGTGGCCCAAAAAGAGAGCTTATCAGAGCGACTCAGGAGAGCTAGACATTACATTATTTCTGCAAGTGTTTTAAGGAAACAACAGGCAAATGAGTTATACCAAACAGTGGGGAGTACTTGTGGTCTCGAAGTAGAATTGACCTGTCTGGGAGGTGCTCAGGGTTTCAGAGTCCTCTTAGAATCATAGAATGGTTAGGGTTGGAAGGGACCTCAAAGATCATCTAGTTCCAAAAAGATCCTCAAAGATCATCTAGTTCTCTTCCTAATGAATAACCAGTGTGGGAGGGTCCCAAAGCCTTGCATCTCTAGTAACAAAGATGTCAGCAAGTCCTTGACCCAGCTGGCTTCTACGCAGCCTTTGTTAGGTTTGAAATAAAGCCCCTGTCTTCTGCTCTTATCATAAGTGTCTGAGCTGGGCTTGGACCTGACTAACTGTGAGTTATCTGTGATCAGCCTGGGCAAGGCTCACAGAAGGAGCAAGAGGGATTGAAGAGAAATAATTCAAGGAAAGGGAATCATAGAATGGTTCAGGTTGGAAGAAACCTTAAAGATCATCTGGTTCCATCCCCCCTGCCCTGGGCAGGGACACCTCCCACCAGACCAGGTTGCTCCAAGCCCCATCCAGCCTGGCCTTGAACCCCTCCAGGGATGGGACATCCACAGTTTCTCTGGGCAACCTGTTCCAGTGTCTCACCACCCTCACAGCAAAGAATTTCTTCCTGATATCTAATCTCAATCTCCCCTCTTCCAATTTAAAACCGTTCCCCCTTGTCCTGTCAGTGCACTCCCTATAATAGGAGCCAAGTGAAATACCCCAAAGGGATTAAAGGGTGTTCCTCTAAGAAGGTGGCACAGCTGACAGCCCAGCTGAAGTGCATCTACACCAATGCAGGCAGCGTGGGTGATGAACAGGAGGAGTTGGAAGCCATTGTGCTGCTAGTTGCCACTACTGAAACCTGCTGAGACAAATCCCATGACTGGAGTGCAGCTATCCATGGCTACAGGCAGTTCAGAAGGGACAGGGGAGACCTTATAGCAGCCTTCAGTACCTAAAGGGGGCCTACAGGAGAGCTGGGGACAAACCTCTTAGCTGGGCTTGTTGCGACAGGGCAAGGGGTAATGGCTTTAAACTGAAAGATAGTTTTAGTCTAGATTTAAACTAGGTGGTGAAACACTGGAGAGGTTTCCCAGAGAGGTGGTAGATACCCCATCCCTGGAAACTTTCAGATTGGGTGGGGTTTGAGCAACATGATCTACTTGAAAATATCCCTGCTCATTGTGGGGGAGGTTGGACTCGATGGCCTTCTAAGGTCCCTTCCAACTCAAACTATTCTATGTTAAATGACTAAACTTGATCAACCTCAAGCCTGGAAGGTCCACAGCTCTTAATGGCAATAGTATCATGGAATAAATTAAGATTGGCTGAGATCCTGAGTAAGTTAAGTGGTCTTTTGTTTTTTTTACAACAAAACAGAGCAGATTTTTAGTCAGGCTTGCCTGTAAAGAATGTACAAGCTGTAAATGTGGGAAGGAAAACAATGTAACCCTGATCTCTACCCCCTCTGATAATTACATGTGTCTTCTCAGAAACAAGTTTACTTTCGCCTCCATTTCCAGAAAGCTTTAAGGATGTCCTTGTCCTTTTGAGATTGTCAGTCCTGTTCTGATACTTCTTTTGCATAAATGATTAAGGTGACCATCTTGATTTCAGAAGGGAGATGGCATAGTATTGATGGTTGCCTGATCACTTTTTAATTAGGATAATAGGAGTTCTTTTTTTCAGCCCATTCATTTGGCCAGCGTTCTTCACATCAAGTGCTTGCTGGTGGGTTTTCAATACAATGCCCAAAAAATGAGAGTCTGGAATCTCAGGAGTTCTGGGAAGCAATTTAATATGGTTCCTGTTGGAAGTCAAAGGGCACTGTGCCTCTGACTTAAATGGGAGTGCTGTAAGGTCTGCAGAGCTACTGGAATTTTCCTTATAAAAATAATGGAGTGATATACGTTTGAATACAGTGTGGGATTTTATTTCCTTTTATATGTCCTCTTAATCAGGATGATGCTCAGTCTGATGTAGAGCTTATTAAAAGAGGGCTGTCGTGTTATCCAGCCACTTATACATTAGCGGCTTTAAAATTAATAATATTAAAGAAAAAGACCTGGGCTTTACTAAGTGGACTCAGCACTCATTTTTCACAGAAAATAAAATCCTTAGCTGTAAAAAAAAAATAATTAAAAAAAACTTGAAGTGTCTACAGTATGCTCTGATCTTCTGTTTGCATCCCTGCTCTTAAGTGTGACATGGAGGTTTTTAAGCACAAGGTGATGCTGTGGTGGTTGTACCATCTCTTTAGAAAAATGATAAAGCTTGAATGTGCCTGGTGCTTTCAGATGACACTGTAACACAAACAAAGCTGTTTTATACTGTCTTTGAGAACCTCACTCGGACTATTAGGACATACTGGTCTCTATTGCCTAAATTATTTTAGCTTCCTTCTTCTAGTTAGGAAAACTTGCCCTGTGGAAAGTTATTCTTTGACTTACAACCTTAGGGTTGTAAGCACCTTCCTCAAACGTTGGTTGCTACCTGCATCAGTTTTCTGAAAATATAGCTAAACCATGATTCTGATGACACATCACAGGTTCAGACTAGACATCAGGAAACATTTTTACGCTGAAAGGGTTATTAAGCATTGGAATGGGCTGCCCAGGGAAGTGGTTGAGGCACTATCCCTGGAAGTTTATAAAAGACGGGTTGACATAGTGCTCAGTAACATGGTTTAGTGATGGGTTGTTGTTTTTTTTTATCAGAGTTAGGTTGATGGCTGGACTAGATGGTCTTAAAGGTCCCTTCCAACCTAGACGATGCTATGATTGTGAGATGTGCTGTTTGCCTCATTTCCTTGTGCCTAAGACTCTCCTTTCGCTGTTACCCTCTCTGTGTCCTCTTGTCTCTTTCCAAGCGATGCTCTTCCTATGGATTAGTTGTGCTGTTGATAGTGAGATTGCCATGAAGTGTGTCAAAGCCTGAAGCACCACCTTTTCTGAGCTTGAGGGTTCCAATGACTTCTTTCCTCTTTTGCTACTTGCACATAGACGAAGGGTTAGACGAGGCTGCTTGAAACGTCCCTGAGCACCATGGTTCCAAAAAACGCTTGTTCTTATCTATCAAATATGACAAGTCCTGCTTGATAAATATGACAAGTTCTGTTTCTGCATGAAAAATATGTTCAGGAGTTGAAAATTCATTACTTCTCAGTCATCAAAAAACATACAGAGTCTGTTGCTCCATGAGGTTTTGTGTATATAGGCTGAAAGGTGTTGCCTCAACGTATTTATTTTAAAGTGAAACACCTGGGAACCAAGAACTTACATTCATGCCTTTTTACTCTATCTGGAATACACAGCTTTTGTGCCACAAATCTGTTATGACACAGATCTGTTCTGATTCTAGCTGGTTGAGAAAAGTTAAAATTAATGAGAATGCTAATAATGCAGACACTGGCTAGGCTAATGGTCTATTTGCATATTTCCAGTTTTTCAAGGAAACGTGTTTATCTTGTGGTTCTTATAGTGAAAACAGGACACATGTAGGTGAGTGTCTCTTCTTGCTCTCGTAGAGGATCATCATTACAAGTTCCTCAGAGGACTTGGCAGTGTAAAATGGACATACCTATGCATGCAAAACAGACATAGTCTATTTTGTGTTTTCTGCTAAAACAAACATTCCACTAACATTAGTCATTTTCTTTTCCTTTTTT